AATGAATATTAGTAGTACAATATCAAACTGACAGCTAAAAATAATAAAAAATAAATAATAAAAAATTAATGTGGACAAAAACCTAAAACTAAGGCTCAAATTTCTGTGATCTGAGAATCACTATAAAAACTAACCAGGAAAAACTGAAGTAAGGCAGGCCATTCGAAGTGGCTCACAACTATAATCCCAGCACTTTAGGAGGCCCAGGTGGGTGGATCACTTGAGGTCAGGAGCTCAAGACCAGCCTGACCAACATGGTGAAACCCTGTCTCTACTAAAAATACAAAATTAGCTGGGCATGGCGGTGCATGCCTCTAAGCCCAGCTACTTGGGAGGCTGAGGCAGGAGAATCGCTTGAACCGGGGAGGCGGAGGTTGCAGTGAGCTGAGACTGTGCCATTACATTCCAATCTGGGCAACAAGAGCGAAACTCCGTCTCCAAAAAAAAAAAAAGAGAAAGAAAGAAAGAAAGAAAGAAATAACCCAAAATAAAACTATTAAAGGCAAAAACTGAACACAGTAACTCGTGCTCTTAAAATTGATGGACGAAAAAAATCTTGATAAACTTTACACAAAATTTGAATTAGAAAAATTAAACTTGGTAGAAATAGTCACAGAAGAAAATTCACAAAGGCAGAAGCTATAATTGGTAAAATCTGGTATGGACCTCCAAAGTGATAAAAAAAATCAAATATGGACAACTATTCTAACACAATTGACCCCAAAAAATCAATAAATTAAAACTTCAGGGAAAAATTATGATCACAATGAAACTGAAAATTGTTAATCGTGTTGATCGTGTTGTGAAATGCTGACCTAAGAATTAAACAGGCTTACAGGATGCAATTTGAGGTAAAAATATTTTCTCAATGAAAATCTGTCACTGTTTACATAGTTATGATTGAAATGTGTATTCATAAATACAAAATCAAAATGTCCTCTGAGTCAAAATGGCAGTAAAAACATCTTAAATCCAAAGGACTATTTTGGGACATTCCTCTTCTAAATCAATATGGACAGATACTACTTCAAATACCTTAGTATTACTCAGGTAATTTTGGTGGGGAACTAGAAATTGAATTACAACATACATGTAGAAAAGTGTACAAATGATAAATTACACAGCTTGATCAATTTTCATAAATCAAACACATCCATGTAACTAATACTCAGATCAAGACAGTATCTGCATCCAGAATATTCCCTGGTACCCCTTTCTGGGCACCTGCCCTGAAGGGTAACAACTATTCTGACTTATAACACTATAGATTTGCTTTGCCTATTTTAAAACTTTATAGAAATGGGTTGTATAGTATACATTCTTTTTTATGTCTGGCTTCACTCAACATTACTTTTATAAGCTACATCTATAGGGTCACAAGTAATTGTATTTCATTGTTTGCATTACTATTAAGTTATTCCATCATGAAAAGATAAAATCTATCCATTCTACTGTTGATGAGCATTTGGGCATGTAAGCAATGTTTTAAACTAAAACACTGTCACAAGCAAGCAAGTAAGCATATGTTCACTGCAGGAAAAAAAAATACACACACACACACACACACACACACACACACACGGAAAAAGTCTTTATGATCCCATGGGGTAGGGATAATGATAAATTTTGGCACATCTCTAAACACATTTCATTGAATATATCATTTACAAGTCAATTACTTAAATGAAAAGCAATGCCTCTCTTTGCTTTTAATATAGGTTAATAACACGCTTAAGATTTTAAGATATCTTCTTCCAAGGTCTGGATTTTCAGTAATTTCCACATCAGTATTCTAGAGGGGATACTGGCCTTCCAGAAAAAGTACCTAAAATCAAAACAAGTCAGCACACTCAGAGCATTCACTGCATGACAGGAAAGCAAAAGAGCATTTTTGAAGATCAATAGGCCCAGCTCAAATGGTCCCTCATCTCCACTAATCCTTTCTTGAAAGGCTCTAGCAGAAAAACAACTTTCTCTGGGATCCCCTGACCATGAGTCTATTGTACTACATGTAATAGATTGTACTGATATATTTACATACTCTTTCCTGTTTTTAGGAAGTTTAAAAAAGCACAGAAAGGTATAAAAGCAATGTAACAAACACCCACAAATGTATCCACACCCCAAAATTAACAAATGTATTCATTTTGCTATTTATATAAAAATTAATATTTTATAGGAGTAAAGTTCCCTTTGTTCCTTCCCCAGTCCCTTTCCTTTTCTCTTCTCAGAAGCAACCAATCAATTTGATAAACTGAGTTTGATCATTCTAATCTCAAATATGAATTTTTTTTTTTTTTTT